CCCGGGTACCAGAAGTGAGAGGTTTGGATTAAAAATATATTGAGAAATTAATCTCCTATTTTAATTTTATGGCTCGTTCAAACAGTGCCTAACAAAGGACGATACCTTACAAAAATACAGTAACAAAAATATGACACCCAAAAATGTACCACTTACAATTAATAAGATTTAATTTAGTAATAATACAATTAAGAAATAGAAGAAATATACTTACAAATCATCAACTTACAGAGTATGGTTAAATCTTGTACCGTTACACTATTTGTACAATGTGCCAATTAAAAATGATGAATGATGAATGCGTATAAACACATATGAGTACACAAAGAATAATACACGTCTAGTGAAGTTAAAATATCTAGCAATCTATCTCAATCTCTATATCAATCTCCGTGAATCTCTGAAACCCCTTATTCATATAGAGTGGGTCTACCGAGGCGTCCAGAAACGCCTTTACTTTTCTAATACAATCGAGAAAATTAAACAAGATACTAGGAGACAGACTATACATGTTTAATAGGTAGTCAGCAGTAAACACGATATATCAAAGGGATTAAACCACGCCTAGAACAAACGTTAGCTTCTGCTAGGAATCTCATTTGGGGTCAAACAAAGTTCACGGCACGGGAAAGTTTCCTACATAACAGTTGGGTTGGTAGTTTATTTTAGTCAAACCAAAGAAGTAAGTTTACAAAACATATAGTCCATTCAATTATCTTTCATTTGATACTCATTTTGTCTCACAACCCAACAAAAATATTTAAAATAGTTTTTAACTCCCAGCCTCTCATTTCTGGTACTCTGGTGCGAATAGTCACTTCGTTTTAAAATTTAAATGTTGTAATTTTTTTTAAAAATAATGTGCGTTCCTTAAGCAACTCAATGGGGTAAGGGTAAAAGATAACTTTTTAAAAAATAATCAGCAATCGAAATTAATTTCACATAATGGATAGATCTGTACGAAATATGACCCGATGTGTCTTAAACATGTATAGAGAAAATGTTTAATGTTTTTAATGTGTAATATTTGCAAATTCTGGTGTCACACAGACAGACAGATAAATTAACATGATTTTATAAAGATTACATTTTGTACCAGGGATTTTTCAAAATAATTTAAATGATGCTTGTAAGAAAAAAATTAAATAAAAATAAATATACAATACATCAAACACGAGGATATTAAAGATATGAAGTTTTGTTTAACAGTGCTTAAATATGAAATTAGTCGTGAAGTCATTGAACATATGCAGTGGTTTCAAAGTGTCCTTAACTACGATTTTTATGGTTAATGATAAAGGAATACTTCAATAGGCAAACCCGAGGCATCTATGATAGTTTACAGCCTCGCAAATGGGGTAAGTCTGTTTAGGTCCGCCAATGACCTGTGATGCACCCTACTCGCCCTGCCTCATTTTCTGTCTCGGGTTGATCCTGTAGTATAGGCCAAAACGTGCCAAAGTGTCCTCGTTTTATAGCCATTTTAATTGTTTCTATAGTGTAGTAGTTACTATCCTAGTTTCTCTGGTTTTTCATTTTTATTTTACTTAGCTTACATGTTTTTAATAATTGTAAAGCGCGTAGAGCTTTAAGGTAAGCGCTATATAAAAATGCCTAAATAAAAAAATAAATAAATACAGTGTGTCAACAATTTCCAGGGTTCAAGTGATTTATGTAAAAAAAAACAAAAAAAAAAAAAAAAAAAAGATTTTTTTTTAAATTTATTTTTTTTTATACTGTTTGAAAAAAAACTCTAAATTAAATTGCCTCTAATATAGTGTCACAGGGATGGATC